TTCCCACACCGCCCGCCGGAGAAGTGGTCGTTTGGTTATTCGTCGTTCGGTTGGTCGGCGCTGGCCCTCGCCCCCCCCACACCCCTCGGAGTAGATCCGGGCTGTTTTGAGCGCCTGTTTCAAGCAGGTGAAGTCTCCTCCACGGGGCGCACCGTTGCAGACAGTCGCACCAAGCGTACCTGAGCCAGACCCCCCCCATCCGCCCAAGGTCGCAACGACACTGTCCCCGGCCACCCCGACGCTTCTGCCGGGAAAGTTTGGGCGGGTCGGTCCGACAAGTCTGTTGCACTTCGTGGAACAGTCGTGCAGGCCCGTGGTGCGATCCTCCGACTCTATCTTGCCTGACCTCCGACGCGCTGGTTTTTCGATTCGGGGTCCCCAGGGCTGTGGACCACTTCCCGCTGACCGATGTTTCGCTTTGGGCCGTTTTTGCAGGGTCCCGAAGCCCAGCGATGGCCCCCAGACGCCGAAAACGACAGCAAACGTCCGCCTCGTGTTTTGTCAATACGTTGGAGGTCTGGGCTCTCGAACCCCATGTGAGAGGGCCTCCGCAAGAGGGGGAGGAGGGAGGGCGTCAGAGTGGCCAGCACCGACCGCGGCTCCTCGCCCCGAGCTGGGTCCTCACGGCCGCCCACTGCGTGGAGAGTGGGGCCTCGTTTTCCGTGGTCGCGGGCAGCTACGGCCTGCACGACACGGACGAGATGCAGGTGGTTCTCGTCGCCGTCGTCGCCGTCGTCGCCGTCGCCGTTCTCCTCTTCAACTTTAGGCCTCACAGATGGGATCAGAGTAATTAGATGGGTTCGGAGGATCGCGCCTCATCGCCGATGGCGTCGGGCGCATCGGCGATGCATTGCCGATGCGGCTCGATGTGGAGGCCGACGTCGCCGATGCATCGCCGACGTCCCTGGTACATCGCCGCTGCATGGCCGATGCGGCGCGATCCTCCAACCCCATCTGCTCAGACCCCATGTGATAAGCCTCTGCTGTCATCGCCATCAAGACGGCGCCCGCTTACACCCGCACTGCTCGCATCCAGGCGAGACTGCCGCCGCCGCCGCCGAGTGAGAGGGCGTGAAGGCACGCAGGCCGTGGCTCGTTGAGCCCCCTGCGAGGCGCGCCAAGCCGAGGCGAGCGAGGGCCCCGCGCCCTCCGACTGGAGACTCAGCCGCATGCCTCGGGATATGGACTTGCGCCCCGGGAGCGAAGACGAAGGCCAGTCTGAAAATCAAGAGAACACATCATGTAACTTCCAGAGAGTGAATATGATCATGATGTCGCCACTGATACTGTTCCCCCCACGGCCGATCCAGAACAAGTCGTCATGCTCCTCTCCCTCCTCGCAGCCCCCGGTGACGCTGGAGACAGCTGCGGATCCGCAGTTTTGTCAGGCGCCCAGGACGGTGGGACCGCCTCGTGGCGGAGACCGCACGGGCTCCAGCGAAGGCCAAGCTGGTGTTGCCGACACCGTTTGCGGTTCTGGAGGCGACCAAGCAGGTCAATCTGGTGCGCTCAAAGCCGGCGCTGGCAGCGCAGCCAGCGGCTCCAGATGTTGTTTAGAAGGGCAATTTGGTGCACTCAGAGCCAGTGCTGCCGCGACAAGGGCTCCGAGTTCCAGGGCACGGCGCCGCAGGTGCGACCGGTCGCCCTGGAGGCGGCCCTGAAGCGCACAGCGGTGTTCGTTCTGGCGCCGCTGGCTGCTTCGGAGGCGCGCGGGTACCGTGGGAGGAACACAACGGCCTGGAAGCGGAGGACTTGGAGCGCATGATCCGGAGGCTCGTCGAGAAAGAGCTGGTCGCGAGACCCCGCCTTCAGATTTCCTGCCAATCTATGACCCTGAAGCCACAAACAATTCCAGCGGTAGGGATGGAGGTCCCTTCGGTTTTACAGCGCGGCCCCCACCTCAGCGCTGTGCACAATCGTTCTAGGAGCGGCCGCCTGCCCAACAGCGGCCGCTGTTAGTTTTGGACCAACTGTGTTATTCGGCATTGTACCCATTCTTGTCCGTGCCCATTTCGGGCGGGCGCCCAAACACTTGAGCGACGCGGCAAAACGGGTGCGCCTTCGCCCTGGCATCGCTCGGACGTGTGCATTCTTCCCTCGGCGAGGACCATCGAGGAGCATCCTGGATCATCTGGCGAAGAAGCCACGCACGAAACCGACAAAAAATGTCGGAAAAACGGAAAAAATAAAAAAAAAAAAAAAAAAAAAAAAAAAAAAAAAAAAAAAAAAAAAAAAAAAAAAAAAAAATGGGGGGGGAAACAAACAACAAAAAAAAAAAAAACGAAACCGAAACAAAAACAGGGACAGGACGTCCGAGCGATGGCGAGGCGCCGCCGCTCGCGCGTCGGCTGCCCCGCGCAGGGGTCGCGCGTCGGCGCCCTCGCTCTTTCCGTGTGCCGGCGCGCCGCGCGCCGGCCGCCCGCGCGGGCCTTCGCATAATCCGAGGCCCGAAAACCATCGCTTCACCAATTTTGGGCCCCAGGGCCCAGGGCCTCCTCCTCCTCCTCCTCCTCCTCCTCCTCCTCCTCCTCCTCCTCCTCCTCCTCAATTTCCGAGGCCCGAAAACCATCGCTTCACCAATTTTGGGCCCCAGGGCCCACACCGAGGCCCCAGGGGCCCCCCAGGTTCGTGAAGTGACGTTTTTTTTCCCACGTGAGGACCCCGAAATTCACCACTTCACTTTCCCACGTAAGGACCCCGAAATTCATCACTGCACTAAACCGAGCCCAGGACTGAAAGTCAGGGGCCCGAAAACCATCGCTTCACTGATTTTGGGCCCCAGGGCCCACTGAGGCCCCAGGGGGCCCAGATTCTTTTCTTTTTTTTTACAGCCGCAGGCGGAAGCGCCAGCGGCGGAAGGTCGCGGGCGGGCTACGGCCGCGACTAAATTGCCGAGCGCGCGCGGGGGCCGCGGATCAGGCGGCGGGGGGGGGCAGCGCCCAGGGCGGCAGAGCCGAAACAGGCCCCAGATTCGTGCAGTGATGTTTTTTTCCCACGTGAGGTGAGGACCCCGAAATTCATCACTGCACCAGAAACCGAGCCCAGGACACGAAAGTCAGGGGCCGAATCGCTGCTGTGATGCAACATCGGTCTCGTACGTGAGGTCGCCGCACCCTTTGGCGGGCAGAGCGTCGTCCTGCGCCCCGGGGCTCGATCAGAGCTTATTGAATCGCTTCGCTCATTCCGCCGGCCCATTTCGCATGACTGAGCCTCTTGGGGCCGCTGGGGGGCCTCTTCAGCGTCGCTTTGGGGGCCTCCTGAGGGCCTCTTGGGGGCTCTTGGGGGCCTCTCAGGGGCCTCTTGAGGCCTCCTGGGGGCTTCTCAAGGCCGAGGGCTCGAAGTTGTGTTTTGTGTTCCCCCTTTGGGGCATCGCTTGGGGCTCGATCAGAGCTTATTCGCCTTTTTGGAATTCTATATTCAAAGCGTGGCGCTCGCCTGAACGCCGCGCACACTCGTTTTAAAAGTGTGCAAGGGCTTCACGGATCGAGGGCGGGTGGCTCTCAAAGTGTGGCTCTCGCCTTAGCGCCGTGCACAAGAGCGCCTTGGGCATCTCTCGCTCAGAGCTTACTGGCTTCAGAGCGTGGAGAAAGAACAAGAAAATGACGGCCACAGCGGGCGGCAGGCGCGATCGCCGACGCCCAGCGCGGAGCCCCCCAGGCGGGCACGCCGGGGAGCTGCGCGAGGCTGCGCGCAGCCGGCACTGCGAAGCCCGCCACGCTGCCGCCCCGGCGCGGCGCAGGCCCCCTGGGAGCAGCAGCGCCTGTCCGCCGCGAAGGCAGGCGCCGGCGCTTGCCGACGGGGTATCCGCACCACCCCTGCAGGAGGAACCTTCAAAAATAGGAAAAAAGTAGTCCGGGGACTATGTTTTGTCTATGGTTGAGCATTTGGGGAGCATTCTGTAAGTATTCTAAATATTTCGCCCCAGATCCCCTCTGTAGGGGGACAGGCCCGCTTTTAACCTGGTGGTCTTGGAAGCGGCCAAGAGACGGCCGAGTCGGCGGCGCGTGGGCCCACCAGTGGGCTGGCGTCGCAGCGCCAGCGGGGCGCGCTGGCGCCCAGGTGTCTGGCAGCCGGCCTCGCCGAGAATGGGGCCGCTGGCCAAGTGGGAGGCGCGCGGGGTGGCCCGGAGTTGGCCTCGCCAAGTTGGGCCGCCAGCCGCCCGAGAGATCGGCCCAGCTGGGGCGCGAGAGGTGGCCGAGAGCGGCCCTCGCGCAGCTGGGCTGCGAGCCGAGGAGGACCCCCCTGCGTCAGAGGGCCCGCGCGATGTTCCCCGCCTTATAGATTTCAGTTCCGCTTTCAGTGCACACACGTTTGCCCCGGGCCCCCCGGACACTTTGGTGCAAGTGCTCCGTCGCTCAGTGCACGGCGTTAGTTTCCTATCGTGGGACAGGCGGGCGTGGCTGGAGTTCCGCCACAAAGACAGAGGGCCCGTGCTCGGGGGTCGCGGTTGCGGTCCGTCGCGCGCCCCCGAGCCCGCGGCGAGCGCGCCTTGCCGCGCGCGCGGGAGGCAGCTTCGACGCCGCCAACGGCCCGCCGCGCGCCCCCGAGCACGCGGCGAGCCCGCCCTGTGGTGTGCGCCTGCAAGCTCCAACGCCCATGACAGCCTTCGGGCGCACGCCCTGCTCGGGGGGCGCGGCTGCGCTCTGCCGCCGCGCCCCCGAGCCCGCGGCGAGCGCGCCCCGTCGCGCACGCGGGGGGGGGCAGCTGCGAAGCCCCCGCTCCTCGTCGTGCCCCCGAGCCCGAGTCGCGCGCGCCCTGTCACGAGCCCGCGGGAGGCAGCTTTTCCACGCCCCCGACGGCCTCCGGGCGCGGCACCGCCTCGGGGAGAGCGGCTGCGCTGCGTCGGAGGCCCTTCGAGCGCGCGGCGAGCGCGCCCTGCCGCGCGCCATGCGGGGGGCGGCCTCGGCGGGGGTGCGCCCGGCGGTCTGCGTGCGGCAGGACGGCGCCGAGCTGTTTGCTCTGTCAGGGGCACACTGCCATGGATCGAAGTCGCTATGCTCCATTGAATTGCTCGTCCGCCGTGTCCACATCCATCCCTCGCCTCCCTCCGGGAACCTCTGGACACCTCCAGAGAGTCTTTGATCCCTTCGACGAGCAAGCTGGGGGTCCCAAACAACCTTCGAGGGCCTCCACTGGACCCCCATCCCCATCCTCATCCTCCTTCTCATCCTCCGTATTGATCATGTTTGCCCTGTCGCACCACCACGCGACAGGGCAGGGCTATCCGGGCGCGTCGCTCGAGAAGCCTCGCCGCGCATGAATTAGAAGGGATACTACAGGGGGGCAGGCGCGGGCTCTCTCGCAGCAGCGGGGCGCGCCGGTCGTTCGCAGAGTTTTCTGCCGCGGAGACGGGTGGCGGCAGGTCCCTGGAGCGAAGTGGAGTTCTCGCCCTCGCTGCCGTGCGCATGTGCCTTGAAGCCTTGAAACATGTATACCTTGCTCATTTCTAAGTGTTCGAGTGTTCTTTGATTTGTTTGTGGGGGGGCGCCACACGCCTTTCATTCCTAATGGTTCTGTCCTGGGCCTCTTCCTGGCCTTTAGGGTGCCAGGAACAATCATAAACGAGCACAAGTAGAAATGAGCACGATTAGAAACGAACGACGTGTATACAGTCAACCCGCATACTAAGGATGAGCAACTTTCCAAGGCTAACGTCGCACCCTTGCCCCCTCGGTCCGTCCTTGGCGACTTTCGCTGGCCAACCACGTTCGAGAAACGTTTGCATGGCACTCTGAGGCCCTTGCATCCTTACCGCGCATCCTGATCATGCGATTTGACTGTAGGGATGTAGGGCGGCTTTGCAATTTCGGAAGATTGAACTCACGCCTTGGCGCCGCGCACATTGGGCCCACAACTGCGCAACAAATTGGAGGATGGAGGGTGGCTCGTTGTCGAGATTAGGCCTACGCGTCGTAGCGCCGCGCGCATTCGTCTTAAAACTTCCGGCGGTTACAGTCGGCGGGTAGCCCAGGGGAGAAGGTTGAGAGAGCGGGACTACTCAGAAGGCTCAGAATGCCACCGGCCTTTTGATAAATTGCTCGAGCCTTCTCTGGAGCCACCGAGGGTTTCAGAAAGCGGGAGAGTTTCTCAGAAGCCCCGTGGTCTTCTGAGAAGGTTTGCCCCCTCTGCCGTCGACACCACGTGCTCGCCGCCGACACCAAGGATTAGAAAGACGTCCTCAAGGCCAGAAGTTCAAAAACATGTAGCTGCTGCACGAGTGTAGTAATATATGTATAAGTTGAGTGCTCGAGACGCACTGTAACTGAATGACCAAAAATGCACACGTGTGTAACATTTACAGGGTGGGGAGCGGTTCCTTTTCAAAGCGGGATTCTCGTTGGACACTTCCGTGAATCGTATGATCATAGTTGTTTCATGGTTTACCACTCGCTAGAAGGACGCCAGGCAGCTCCTTTTCTAAACGGGACTGTCGCATCAATGGCGAGCCCATCGGGCGTTCTTCGGGGGGGCGATCCCTGTAGTGAAGAGTGAGTTCGCACGGACTTATGAGGAGGGGATCTCGGACGAGAGGGTGAATTGCAGCATTGCTTGTTCATCTTGGGTCTCCAGTGGTCCTCATGCAGCACCGTTCATGCATCCCGGCTCTCCAGTGGTCATTGCCATAATCTTGCACTTCCCCGGCCTGTCCTTTCCGCCGTTGCTGTCCCTCCTTCCCTCGCCCCCCGCCCCTCATCCACACTTGCACATCGTGAGTACTACTCTTCTCCTTCCCCTGACTCTGTCCGGCAGGTAACCGGCCCTCTCCACGTATTGTTCCTTCTTGCACACATGGTTTCAAACGCTGTTCTGTTTCGCTTTGAAATCAGAGTGCTTCCGGTGTTTCGAAATGCCGTCCCCGCTACAGCGTGGGCCTCATGTTCGAATCGGCGTTTTGCTCGCGTCGTTCATAATGGCGCTCTCGCCTCTGCGTGGGCCACTATTCTGGAACCGAGTTCTTTTTCATCCTTGCCGCCCCCATCGTTTCCCCTCCTCCGACTTCCCTGGTGTTCCCGTTGATCCCGTTCCTTCCATCACAGCTCCTGCTGTTGCTTACCGCTCTCGTCCTCAGCTTCACTCATCGTCCTTGTCCTCAACCCTTCCATTCCAGGTGGTTCTGCAGGTGGCGCAGGTGTATTCTCATTTGCAGTATAGCTCTTCCACGTTCGCCAACGACTTTGCCATGGTGGAACTGACCGAAGCGGCACCCCTCAACGACTGCATAGGCACGATGTGGAGGAGGAGTTTGAGGAAGAGGTCCTCGACTTCGATGTTCGTAAGAGACCCAGATGGCCAGCATCATGATGCGTGCCAGCGTGGCCCCAAAACAGTGGGTTCTTGCCGAATTTCGGGCAGAACGCCTGTCGTGCATGCCCGCAATGTTTGGACGTGAGTGAGAGGAAGGAGATGGAGAGTTTAAGGTGGAGCACATGGAGCAGATGGAGTTGGCGGTGGAGCACGACGACGGCATTGACCACGCGGAGGAGGATGACAGATAGGAAAGGCAGGAAGGTGAGAGGGAGGCAGGTGGAGGATGAGGAGTTGGGGAAGAGTGGGAGGCGGAGGAGGACGGAGAAGAGAGGGAGGAAAAGAACGAGGAGAGATAGATGAGGACAGCAAGAAAGTGGAGAGGGACGGGAAGACGCGAAGCAGGAAGCGAGAGTAGAGGAGGAGGGAGCAGAGGAGGGAGGAGGAGGGAGGAGGGAGGAGGGAGGAGGGAGGAGGGAGGGAGGGAGGGAGGGAGGGGAGGAGAGGGAGGGAGGGAAGAGGAGGGGGAGCGGAGAGGAGGGAAGAGGGAAGAGGAGAGGATAAGGAGGACGCGCACAGGCGTTGCGTGCCTCCCGAGCGCGGACGTCGTCGGGGGCGAGGCCTGCTTCATCACAGGACCTGGGGCGCCCACGGTGACGCCGCTGGCGAGGCTCCTCTCCCCCCCCCGCACGACGAGGAGGATGAGGTTATCCTCCCGTGTCGTGTTTGGGACTTGCAAAATCCCCCCCCTTTCTCCTCCCCCTCCTCCTCCTCTTCCTCCTCTTCCTCCTCCTCCTCCTCCCCTCCTCTCCTCCTCCTCCTCCTCCTCCTCCCCTCCTCCCCCCCCTCCTCCTCCCCTCCTCCTCCCTCCTCCTCCTCCTCCTCCTCCTCTCCTCTCCCTACTCCTCCTCCTCCCCTCCTCCTCCTCCTCCTCCTCCTCCTCCTCCTCCTCCTCCTCCTCCTCCTCCTCCTCCTCCTCCCTCCCTCCCCCTCCTCCTCCTCCTCCTCCTCCTCCCTCCCCCTCCTCCTCCTCCCCTCCCCCCGCTGGATGACCAGCTAGGATGGAGCTCTAGAGGGGGTGTCCGAGCCCTGGCCCCGAAGGCGCGCAGGCGTTGGCTGGCGGAGGAGGAGGGGCTTCCCAAATGGTTCTTGTCGCAATCATAAGAATACGAATCCTACCAATAATAAGTGTAGTTAAAGTAAAAAAATCTCATACTGATAATGTTAATAACCATCATCAGCATAATACGAATAATAAAACTATTACTAAGAATACTCATACGAATGATAATAACAATAGTAATACGAATACTGATGATACTAATAATAATAAGAAGAAGAATAACAATAATACTAATAGTAATAGTAATAAAAACAATAACAATCGTAATAATAATAATAATGGTAATAATAATAATATCAATAATGTTATCAGTCTCCTCATCCTCCTCCTCCTGCTCCTCCTCCTCCCCCGCTGCCTCCCTGGGCTGGAGTAAAGGGCGGCCTACCCGAAGATGGCGGAGGTGGTGCCCATCCCGACGGCAGTGGCCCTGGCCTTCCTGGAGATGGTCGGCAGGGAAGAGACGGAGATCCGGATGGCGACCTTCTCATGGCTTCTGGGACGCGGCGAGTTTCTCGGACGAACCACCTTGTGGGCAAGCCAGTGGATTACAAAGATCTGCTCGGGGTTCGGGGTTAACGTTTTCGCGGGTTGGCAAGGATGGAGCACGATATTCATCGAGGCGGAGCTCTCAATTTGCTGGGCTGTGGCACCGTGATCTCTCTACATCCGATCAGAAGCGCGTCATTGCTGATGAAGCTGGGCATCTCTGCTTGCAAGCACGGCACGCCAGCGCCTCCATCCACTTACTTCAGGCTGGCGCGTGACCCCGTCTAAACAGGCATCTCCTATAAGCCCATCCTAAAATCCACTTCGACATGATCCACTGGACGACAGGGAAAAGCATCCGCACGGCCGAGAAACAATAAGAAGAGATCTCGCAGGAGCCGGCGCCAGTCGGCATCTACCCTCCAACTCCAAGACCGAGACAGTCTGATCACGTGTCCTCATCCTCAGGTGCCCCCCCAGCCGCAAGAGTAAAACAGAGTGGCCACACCGCCTGCGCAAGAGCGTGAAATGCCACAGACAGTTCAAGCATCCGCCACAACGACGACTACCTCGAAGCCGACATGGTCGATCCGGACCGTTTTCTCGAGCAGAAGATCGACTTCGAAGTTCGTCTTTATGAAGCCGAAAAAGCCGATGAATTCCCAACTCGCGAGGTCCAGCTGCTGAAGCTGACCAGCTCACAGGGGGATGGACCGCGGCATCGCCTTGGTGAAATTGGTCGTGGAATGCAGCCCAGAGACGGGTTCGTAGGGCGGCGAAGCCCGGCCTTATGTTCAGATGGTGGATTTCGACAACAAGGGCGAGATGATCTCTGCTTCGAGAGGACGTGCGAAGGGCACCGCCGCGTGGAGTCCTCGTCATCCTTCGACAGAGGCCACCGCCACAACTATTCCTCCAGCTGAGGCGCAGCTGCCCCCCTGGCCCGCGTGCACTTCTATCCATGCATTCGGGTCGCGGCGCCAGGATTCTGACCTCCTCGTTGCGGGCACGCCGACCTCCCATATTTTATCCTCATGAATACTCCCTCCCTGTCGCATCCTCGGACGCGTCGGCAAGGCGGGCCGGGCGTTTCGCCTGAGGCTTTCTCACCGTCTGTGGCCATGAAGTTGGCAATGTTGCATCAACTTCAAGGGTGGAGCACGGGTGGGCTTTCCAAATGCGTCTGTCGATCTTGCGCGGCGGGCATTCGTCTTACATAAAGCTGGCATTCGTCTTACGTAAAGGCCTGTGTGAGGTGGTGTTCAAAATGAATCTCCCGCCGCAGCACCGCGCATATTTGTTTCAAAAGCTCGCAACCGATTCAAGGGTGGAGGGGATAGTCTTCAAATTGGGTATCTCGCCTTGCGCCACGCGCGCTCAAGTTGGAGATGCCCAACAAGTTCAAGTTCAAAGGGGAGTGGTTTTCAAATTGTGTCCCCCACTACAAAATGTGTTATCACCGCGCACGCTCGTGTTAGAAGTTCGCAACCGCTTTAAGGGTAGAGCACCATGTGGTCCCCACCTCAGCACCGCGCGCACTGGTTATCAAATTTCACTGGCGTTTCATGAGGGCGGCTCATTTTCATTGTGTGTGTGTCTGTGTTTAAGAGTGTGTCTGTGTGAGTGTGTGTGTGTGTGCGTGTGCGTGTGTGTGTGTGCGTGTGTGCGTGTGCGTGTGTGTGCGTGTGTGTGTGTGTGTGCGTGTGTGCGTGTGTGCGTGTGTGCGTGTGTGCGTGTGTGCGTGTTTGCGTGTGATTGTGCGTGAATGTGTACGTGCATGTCCCACCTTAGCGCCGCTCACCTTAGTCTTCAACGTGTGCAACTGCTTCAAGGATAGAGGGCGGCGCAGGTACACGATGCGTATTTTGCTTCAGCGCAGTGCGCATTCGTCTTAACATAGTGCACAAGCTTCAACGAAGGCCGAGGGCTGCTTTTTCAAAATCTGCTTATCACCTCAGCGCCGCGCACATTCGCCTGACATCTCCGCAGCAGCCGGGTTCAGACTGCGCCTGTCGTAGAAGCCTGCAGCAGCTTAGCTTCGAGGGTGGAGGGAGCTCGTCGCCGACGTGCGGCTCTCGGCGGAGCGCCGCGCAGTCGTCTTGAACCTCCTCCTCCTCCTCCTCCTCCTCCTCCTCCTCCTCCTCCTCCTCCTCCCCCTCCCCCTCCTCCTCCTCCCCCTCCCACTCCTCCTCCTCCTCCTCCTCCTCCTCCTCCTCCTCCTCCTCCTCCTCCTCGCGCATCCGTTTTAACACAGTGCAGCAGGCTCAGGGATCTGGGTAGTCGAAGGCCAGACTGTCAGACCAGATTGGGCCCCAAGGGCCCATCTGGCCAGGCCATACTGGAGGATCTGGGTCATTCGCCTGACCGGATTCGCGTTGGCTCCCTCGCCAGATTGCCCCCGTTTGCCAGATTGGGCCTGCCAGATTGGCGCCAGATTGGCTTCGACTACCCCGGGGATGGAGCGCGACTTCGTTTGCAGCCGGGGCGATTGCCGCAGCGTCGCGCACACCCGCCCCCAGACCCTTGCAACAGCTTCCAGGGTCGAGCACGGGTCGGTCTCCAGGAGCGAGCGTGCCCCCAGCCCCGCGCGCACGCGGTTCCGATGCCACGCTCGCCGGGACAGAGGGCTGCTCTCCTTCAATGCGGGACTGGAAGATGACCACAGTCACTGCTTCTCGTTTGCGCCGCCTTCCAGCCGGCCGAAGAAGAAGCAGCGGTTGTGGTCATTTCCCTTGTGCCAGGCTCAACGAAGATGACCACAACCGCTGCTCTGTTTCTGCGGGCTGGAAGGCGGCAACAAAAGAAGAGCAGTGGCTGTGGTCGTTTTCACGCCCCGTATTCGAGGTCGGATTGCCGTTGAAGGCTGGACCCGAAACTGCAGCATTCCTTGCACGGATCCAGGGCGGCCCTTTCAAAGATGGACTCGTCGCGTGTGGCGCCGTCGACACTCCTGACTACAGGGCTGCGGGTGTGCGCAGCAGTGGCACGGATTGGGGGGGGCGGCGCTGCTTCGAGAGGGGGGGGATTTTTGGACGGATCGCTGACCAGCACGATCATTCACCACCCACCAAACCACCCCAACCCAACCCGAAGGCCCACATTTATCCTCGATTTCCGGTGGGGGGGGTCGGGGACGATTGAAAGAACACATGGAGCCCGTACCCCCCCCAACCCGAAATGCGGGTCACATTCGGGTCTTCGGGTTGGGTTGGGGTGGTCTGGTAGGTAGTCAATCATGACTTTCGATGTCCTGGCGACGCACCCAGAAGGCAATTCCGTCTCAAGCCCGGGCCCTCGCCCAAGGCGGTCGTTCAAGGGCGGCGTTGCCAGGGACCTGCGAGGAGGGGACCTGGGACGCGAGGGTGCGTTTCGGCATCATCGACGCATATTTGGCTTACTATGGTCCTCCTCCATGTCGCCCTCCGCACCTGCCTCTGGGCCTTCTCACGGGCAGGGGGAGGACGAGGAGGGCGGGGAGGACGAGGACGAGAAGGACGAGGAGGACGAGGGAAAGGGCGAGGGGGAGGACGAGGAGGACGGGGGGAAGGACGAGGAGGACGATGGGGAGGACGAAGACGACGAGGAGGACGAGGGGCGAGGAGGAGCAGCCAGGCCGCCCCCAGAGGATGGGGCACCCTCTCCTTCGGCGGTTCGCAGCCGGACCTGCTGCAGGAGGCGCAGGTGCGCATCACCAGCAACGCGGAGTGCAGCGCCGCTTACGGCGATTGTTCTCCGTCAAAGGGATCGGCCAGTTTGATCTGTGCGTTCTCCACCTCCTCGTTTTCCTTCTCCTCCCCCTCTTCCTCACCCTCCTCACCCTCTTCCGCCCTTACTCGTTTCCTCTCCCCCTCCGCCTACGGCGGCTCCACTCCGTCTCATCGTTCCTCTGGGCGAATCCGACAATGACGTGTGTCAAGGCCCACAGGGTCCTCAGTGCCCTCCTTCGTCGACATGTTTTTTTGTTACCTGTCGTCACGAGGAACTTGGGATACTGAAGTTGCTGCCCGTTCGCCTTGGCCCAGCCACCCGGCGTTGCGCGGGGCGGAGGTTCCGCCCAAATTCGTCCTCATCCATCTCAAACGTTCGAATCCTACGCTGCCCAGGGCAGCAACCGAAAGAGAGCGCGCAGCGGCCGGCCGATCCGATGGAGTTTGGTCGTCCGTGGCCTTATCGCCCATGTCAGCGGCACAGCGCCGCGGCGGTTGCACTCGTGAGCGGCGCGGGTCCGTTCTGCGGCCACGCCCGAGGTCACGGAGAGCGTCGCAGAGGAAGCGACGCAGGCCATCGTTTTTTTTTTTTGTTCGACGGCTCGTGAGATGCGATCCACTGGGCCGTGGGGACCAGCGGCGGCCGTCTCACCCGAGGCGTGGGGCTCACTTTGGAACAAGACGGCGAAGTGATGCGGCCGCAGTCGACGTCGCAAGCTCCGCGAAGCCGAGAGTTTGCTGCCCAGCAGCTCGCCAGTTCTGGCGAGCCCACGATCCTGGCTGCCGAGCCCGAGCCGCTCGCCCCAGTCTGTGTTGCCTCGCGGCCTGGATGCCTGCACAATCGCACGCGGGGAGCGCCTGCTGGCGAGGCAGCGGTGGAGATCGCGCAGCGGGAGAAGCAGCACCATGCAGCACCAGAGCTGGTAAGCGCTCCGGCTTGCGCACGGAGGGCCCCCCCCCAAGGCAGCCCCGACGGGTCCCAACAGGCCCCCCGAGAAGTCCAGGGCGGTCTCGGCACCCCAACCTGCGGGGCGCGAGGCGCCCCAGGGGCGCCGAGCGCCAAGATGCTGTTGGATCAGCAGAGCACCAGAGCCGAGGAATGTCGTTGACCCGCGTTTCTCCGTGGACGTCGTCACGCAGACACCAGAATCGTCGGATCGCGGAGCCATCGCGAGCCGGGCGAGGGGCTCGGGCGTCGCCAGTGGGCGCCCGGGTCGGAGGATGGACTGTCAGTCGTGGAGGACGCGCGCGGAGGTTTTGATTGGCGAGGCGAACGTTTCGAGCATCACAGGCCGGTGGAGACATGGTTGGTTCGTGCGCATACAGGCCATGTCGTCTTTGAAGTTGTGGTGATACTCAAGTAGACTGGACGATCGATGTAGGTTGTCCATGTCAGCATTTGGCGACGCCGCATGGACATGCAAGATTCCGAGTTGGGCGCGCTGGTCGCGCAGCTTGGGGCTCCCGAGAGAACCATGTCTGTCTGACTTCGCGCAAGGGACAAAGTTTGCAAGCGCGCAGCCTTGCTCCTCATCGCGCTAACATCTCGATGCCAGCGACCCAAACTCCCTGAGAGACCCTCGCTGAACATGAATTACCCGGGGCCGAGCAGAGCAGCTCTGCCCTGGCAGGGCCATGTTTGCCGGACCTCGTCCGCCGATGACGTGAGGAGGATGTTGTCTAAGCATGGAGGCGGTGCGGGGATGTGTGGAGCTGTTTGCGGCAGGGACAAGGCCAGATCCCCGGCGAGGGGCAAAGGGCAGTGTCTCAAGGCATTTGTTGTAAAGGTGGAAATGGCCGCCCGGACGACGAGCCAGCTCACAAATGATGGGGCTGTAACGGAGGTGCCAGAAGCGCAGAGCGTCAACGTTGGGAGGTGCAGCGTCGTGGCCTTTCACGGAAGGTCTGACGCAACCAGGAGAGGCGGGGTGCCGACCATGCATGGCAGCCCGAGACACTTGCAGAGACCTACTCGACCGAACCCAATCATTCGATCACGTCGTTGCCTCCTGAAGGTACGCGCGTTGTGGCGCACGGCGACTTGAAGCACATACGCTGGATGAGCCGGGTGTGTTGCCGGTCATAGAGCGAGCAGCATTGAGCGATTGAGTGCCGCAAAGTTCGATTTGATCACTGAGGGAGAGGATGCCGAAGAACCCGCGGAAACAAAACATTCTCGGCAGTTGCGGTCCTTAGGCACGTCTTACGATGGCCAGACGTCGCGTGCAGTTGCCGTCCCATCTGACCATGTGTTACAGCAGGGCTGTTGGGGCGATGCGGCGGCCTTGACTGTGCAGCGCTGCATGGTGCAGCATCGGCCAGCACTTTTCTCGATTAGGGTTGCAGATCTGATTCGCGATCTCTTTTCATTTCGCTCGCGACGCGAACGGCACGTGCGCGGGCAAACGGGGACAGCATCGACACAAGTGGATGCTGATACAGGGAAATCTGCGGCGTCGAAGCTGTTCGGCGGTGGGAATGTCGAAGGATTCAGGTCGCGGAAACCGAATGCATTGTCGAGCAAGTGTGGCGTTTAAGCAACGCGGCAGTTAACATTTGTAATGGCGATGATTTCAGGCTCTTGATCCACGGCTGTCCACCCGGCGAGGTTCAGAGAGCGATACGTCGCAAAGTCAAGCAATTCCCAGGGCCCAGTCCACACGAAATTCCTCCGGATAGAGCCCGCTTTGGTGATCGGATCGCTGGACCGGGATACAGCGCCACTTAAATCGCGAGGTGGGTGTAGCGTGCGATGTGGAGGCGCATGTCGCGCGAGGATGACTGTAGGTGTTCGAAAGCAGGATCGAAGATTCGGAACATTTTCGCCGCGAAGACCCTGGCCTGCAGGCACAGAGTTCGGAAACACACAGGACGCCTGCACAGCATATTGAAGGCGTTCGACAAGGCCAGCAGGGACGCCGTGTTTTTGCGAGGGCAGGTGCGGCCGAAGAATTCGTTTTCTGAGGCTGCAGTCGCCGACGTATTCTTGTTCCTTTCCTCGCAGAAACGTCATTGTTGGCGCATGGGTAGGTTTACTCTCCACGTTCGGTGCGCTTGGACATGTAGGTGCGTTTCTCCTCCTCCTCCTCCTCCTCCTCCTCCTCCTCCTCCTCCTCATCTTTCTCCTCCACCTCCTCCTCGTCCTCTTCCTCCCGGTCTTCCCCCCCTCCTCCCCGTCTTCCCTCAACACGGCGAAAAAGATCAGCGCAATGGGAAAGGATCGTCGGAAGGAGTGGGACGCCAGATCTGGCGTAAGAGCACTTCGCTTCTCGGTGTTGCTCCCCTTTCCTTCTCATTCCTCGCATTCGTCCTCATCCTCCTCAACCTTCTCCTCCTCCTCCTCCTTCCCCTCCTCCTCTCTTAGCTGTCCTTATATATAATTCCTCCCCTGCAGCACCCCCAGGCGTGTCCGTAAGCCAGGCTGGGCGGTTCGCCTGAAACGTCCTCAATATTGTGACCCCGACGCTTCAAAGGTGCAGCAGCTTCAAGGATGGAGGGCGGGCTGCTTTCAACACAGAGCTCTCGCTCGCCTTGGAAGTCTGCAGCAGCTTCAACGGTGCAGGGCGGGCTGATTTCAAAGTGGAACTCTCGTTCTGGCTCCGCGCACATGCGTCTTGACAGCCTGCTGTTGCTTAAAGATGCTTCAAGGACGGAGGTCGGTTATATTCAAAATGTGGTTCTCGCTGTAGCGCCGCGCACATGCGTCTTAAACGCTTGCAGTTGTTTCGTGGACCCGTGGATTTGAAGTCCCATGAATGGTCTTCTGACACGGCTTAGGACTGCCAGGGCGCAGTGGTAATGTGGAGTAGTAGTGTTGAAGTCCAACGAGCTGCATTTTGGCACGATTCTGGATTGTCCGATATTTGTGATGTGAAGGGTGCCCGAATCCGATCAAGTGTGTATTCTAGAGGCTTCGCGTAACCCCACCAGCCCACCCCCCTTTTCCTCGTCGCCACAGCAGTGGTGCCTGAGAGGCGCGGCTATCATGGGTCCCGCCTCGCGCAGGCAGTGTCAGTCGGGGTTGGCCCCTGGGACGAGGGATTCCCACTGGGCGGCTCCGAAGTGACGGCCCACCTTGGGATGGGGATGGTTTCACCGCAGTGGCAGGCCGCGGCCTTGGTTCCCGTGCTACCTCCTGGGAGTGAGGTACACCCCCCCACACTGCGCTAGACCCCCACGGCCCTCGTGGGCTCCTAGCCCGTGCGGTCGGCTGGGATAACCCCACTCACGGTGTTTGGCCGCGTTGCGGCCCGTGGTGGGCCGGGTCGACTGGCTGAAGGCGTCGCCCCATCTGTCCCCGCCTGCAGTGGATGGCTCTGGCCACGGGCTTGTGCCACCTCCTGGGTTCGAGGGGCACTACACTGCGCATAGACACCCGCGATGTTCCGTGGGCTTCTGCTCCTGCGGTCGGCTGAAATAACCCCACCCAGGTTCTATGCCCGCGTTGAGTGCGGGCCGTGGTGCAGAGGCAACTGGCTGAAGGCCGCTTTCGTGCTTCACCCTTTGAAGTCCAGCTGTATGCTAAGCGGCTTCCCCCCACCCGACGTGGCAACTACACGTGTTGGGTCCTCCTCGGTCTCCGCCTGTTGGGCCCTGTTGCATACAAGTACAGTGGCTATCGGCTGCTACCCCCCTTTTCCTCGTCGCCACAGCTACGTACAATTCCAGCGGATATCGGCTGCTAAACCCCCTTTTCTTCATCGCCACAGCACTGGTGCCTGAGAGGCGCGGCTATCATGGGTCCCGCCTCACGCAGGCAGTGTCAGTCGGGGCTGGCCCCTGGGACGAGGGGTTCCCACTGGGCGGCTACGCGCTGACGGCCCACCCTGGGATGGAGATGGTTTCACCGACCGCAGTGGCAGGCCGCGGCCTTGGTTCCCGTACTACCTCCTGGGAGTGAGGTACACCCCCCCACACTGCGCTAGACCCCCACGGCCCTCTTGGGATTAGCCCGTGCGGTCGGCTGAGATAACCCCACCCACGGTGTTTGGCCGCGTTGCGGCCCGTGGTGGACCAGGTTGACTGGCTGAAGGCGTCGCCCCATCTGTCTCCGCTTGCAGTGGATGGTTCTGGCCACGGACTTGTGCCACCTCCTGGGTTCGAGGGGCACTACACTGCGCATAGACACCCGCGATGTTCCGTGGGCTTCTGCTCCTGCGGTCGGCTGAAATAACCCCACCCAGGTTCTATGCCCGCGTTGAGTGCGGGCCGTGGTGCAGAGGCAACTGGCTGAAGGCCCACTTCGTGCTTCACCCTTTGAAGTCCAGCTGTATGCTAAGTGGCTTCCCCCCATCGTCGGTGACGGAAGTGATCATCATTCTGTTGGGTCCTCGGCCGCCAGCGTCGCTTGCCCCGGGCCGCGCTCGGATACCCTCGTCGCCCGCAGGTCCTCAGGCCCCTGGTTCACTGGCTTCAGCTTCGAACTCAGGAGGGCTTCGCGTTGAGCGTCAACACGCGGTGTTTTGTGAGTGAGGCCTGGTTCCCCCCATCTTTTCCCCGTCGCCGCCTGCCCCTCCCGCTCTCTCGCCCCCTGTCGCCCCGCCCTTCGCCGCCCGGTTTGGGGCTGGCGCCACTGTGCGACGCTCCGCTGACTGTTGTCGGCCGCGGTGCTGAGGTGCGGGTCCAGCCTGTATTCTGTCTGCCCATCCGTGGCCGACTCGCCTCTGCTGCACTCCGGCAGGATTTCGGTCCGGCCCCACCTGCGGGTCCGGCCTGTGGTTGCCCACCTGTGGCCGCCTCCCACCTATTCGTCTTGCATGTGCATTCCGCGCGTTCTCGCGCTAATTATCGTGCGCTGTGCCCCAGCCTCGTTCACACCGCCCTCTGGATTTTTCCTTGCGGGCCGCAAATCAAAAAAGTAACCCCACCAGCCCATCCAGAAACGATGCCTTGGGGAGTTGCCCTGATCAGGGATGTGGAGGAGCATGCAGTGGAACAAAGGGTTGGGGCAACGGTCATACCCCAACACGGGGAGGATGGAGGAGGGAGGAATCGGAGGAGGAGGAGGAGGAGGAGGAGGAGGAGGAGGAGGAGGAAAAGGGGGAAAAGGAGGAAGGAGGAGGCATGGGGACTAATGAGCGGACGAAGAAGGGGAGGCGGAGGAGGAGGAGGAGGAGGAGGAGGAGGAGGAGAAGGAGGAGGAGGAGGAGAAGGGCGAGCAGAGAGCCCAGAGGCTTCTGGGATGTCTCTGGGAGTCCCTTCGGATGTTTCTTGAGATATGTTTGTAGTCCTCTTGGGGCCCTCTTGGGGGCCTCTTGACAGTTCCGGGGGCCTCTTGGAGCGTCTTGGGTGCCTCGGGGGAGCCTCTTCTGGCCTCTTGGGGGTCTCTAGGGGGCCTCGTTGCTCTTTAGGACCTCGTTGCAATATATATATATATATATATATAACGTTTTGAGCATCCGTTGTGTGTGTCTTCTAGCCGATGCCTTCTTGGACGCTCCAATGGGTCGCGAACCCCCCCGCCCGGGTCCAGGGGAGGGTCTCCGAAAGGGAAGAAGGGGGGTTGGAAGAGGAAATTCATGAAACCAGTCACGCCCAGAGGGCTGGCGGGATTGCCTGTTCCTGGTCTTGGCGAGGCATCTCCCATGTGGGGAGTCTGGGGAGTGTGGGGGGGGGGAATCCTTCCTGCTTTGAATTATTCCCACGGTTGTCTTTCAACTGGCTTCTTCTTCCAATGACAGTAACGTCTTGTAGGGGCCTATGAAGACGGAATTTGGAGGGAGGGTGAATTGCAGCATCATTGGCGCGTCTTGGTATTACTCTGGTCCATATCCTCCTTTTCCTCCTCCTCCTCCCTCCTCCTCCTCCTCCTCCTCCTCCTCCTCCTCCTCCTCCTCCTCCTCCTCCTCCTCCTCCTCCTCCTCTCCATCCTCATACTACTCCTCCTCCTCCTCCTCCTCCTCCTCCTCCTCCCTCCTCCTCCTCCTCCTCCTCCTCCCTCCTCCTCCTCCTCCTCCTCCTCCTCCTCCTCCTCCTCCTCCTCCTCCTCCTCCTCTTCATCTCGTACTCCTCCTCCTCCTCCTCCTCTCCTCCTCCTCCTCCTCCTCCTCCTCCTCCTCCTCCTCCTCCTCCTCCTCCTCCTCCTCCTCGCCTGTCATCCTCCCTGCCTCCCATCCTCCTTCCCTCATCATCCCCCTCCTCCCTGACCCCCCCTCCGTCGTCCCCCTCCTCCTTCGTTTTCCTTCCTCCTTCCTTTTCCTCCCTCTCCCTCATCCTCCTACCCCTCCTCCCCGTCCGCCCCTCCCCCTCCTTCATCCCCCTCTTCCCTCCACAATTACTCAATATGAAAATACTCTCCCTCTTCCCCTGATGGCGTCCGGGTGATGGCCGCGCACCCTCCGCGTACTGTTTTTTTTACACACAGGATGCCCGGGAAATCCCGGGAAACGACTCGCTGAGGCGCCGGCGTCATTTTTTCCCAAAATGTTGCTCTCGTTGAGGCGCCAGCCTCATTTCTGCTCCCGAATCGTTCCGAATCGTGCTCCCGCTGCAGCGTGGACCTCATTTTCGGATCGGTGTTTGGCCTCCGTCGTTCAGGATGGCGTTCTCGCCCCAGCGCGGACCTTTTTCTCGCGCGCCCATCCGCCCGCCACCACCGCGCCGCACCGCCACCACCACCACCACCACCACCACCACAACCACCACCAGCACCAGCACCACCAGTACCAACACCACCACCACCAGCACCACCACCACCACCACCACCACCACCACCACCACCACCACCACCACCACCACCACCACCACCACCACCACCACCACCACCACGACAACCACGCACACACGCACGCACGCACGCACGTGCACCACCACCCACTACGCACGCGCGCGCGGAGCCACAGGTCCGCTACGACACGCGTCCGCGGATAGAGAAAATCAGCGCCATGGTAAGGGATGGGAGGGAGGGGTAGGACGTCAGATATGACGCGAGCGCACCTAGCTTGTCCCCCCCCCTCTCCTCCTCCCGCCTCCTCCTCCTCCTCCTCCTCCTCCTCCTCCTCCTCCTCCTCCTCCTCCTCCTCTCCTCCTCCTCCTCCTCCTCCTCCTCCCCCCCCTCTCCTCCTCCCGCCTCCAGCTTGGGCCTCCCAGGGGGGGGGGGGCCCTCGCCACCACGGCCAGGCCCGCCTCGAGGTCCTGGCCCGGAAGCGCCCCGTGCAAGGGTCCGGGGGGCGACGTTGAGGACGGGAAGGCCCTGTGGAGGAGGAGGAGGAGGGAGGAGGAGGAGGAGGAGGAGGAGGAGGAGGAGGAGGAGGAGGAGGAGGGAGGAGGAGGAGGAGGATGAGGAGGAGGAGGGGAGGAGGAGGAGGAGGAGGAGGAGGAGGAGAAGGAGGAGAGAGGATGAAGAGGAGGAGGAGGAGAGGAGGAGGAGGCGGAGGAGGAGGAGGACCACGATGTGAGGCCTCCTCCTCCCCCTTCCCCTCTTCCTTCCGGCGTCTGTCCGTCGTCGCTCCCGTGCTGCATCCTACCAGTACCGCCGGCGACCCCTGGAGCGGTGCTCCAGGGGGTCACAGGGTCTCAGCTCGATCACCCTGGTCCCCCCGGGGCCGACCAGCCCTGGGGGGCAAGGCTAGAGGATCCCTGCTGGACCTCCCAGCAGCTCAGGGTACAACAAGTCACGGCATGCCATGGGCTCCTGCGAGCTCCGAGGGCCGAAGCCCCAAAAGGGTGTTGGAGGGGCCAGCGGGGCAGCTTGCCGTGTAAGGGAGCAGGCTCCCACCCGCTGTGGCCTCCCACAAGCTAATCCCAGTTCGTGAACACTGTCTCGGGGACCCTGGCGTGCAGTGACGTTTTTTCCGATGCGGAAAATAGGTAGTAGGCGAAGGAGGGAGATCAAGTCTCTCGCATGCTTTGACCAATTTTGGCCTCTTTGCAGACCTCTGGGGACCTTTAGGAAGCCCCTGGAGGGGAGGTTGCCCCTCCACTCTGGAGCCCATATCCTCCATCTTGGGGGTCTTCGGAAATGCCGAAGCTTCGGGGCCGTCTTGCGCCCCTCTGGGGCCGTATTGCGCCCCGATTCGACCCCTGGACTTTCACGAAGAGGCCTGGTCGGGGCTCAATAGACGAGGTCAATGCAAACGGGGGTCAGTCAGGGCGCCGGATCCTACAGGATCCTGCAGAGCCAGGGGCGCATTGACGCGGGCTAGGGTGCAGGATCCTACATGATCTTGCAGGCTCCTGCAAGGCTTGACTGACCCGGGTCTGCATGGACCCGGGCCACTAGATCCCCGATTTGGATTCAATATCCCCTATCAAGATGGAGTCCCAAGTTTTGGTGAATTTGTCTGCTCACGCCGTCGGATGTTGAGGTCGTCGTTCTGTGTCGTTTTTTTCCCTGAGGTGACGGCAAAATCACTGATGGCATGGTGTGCGCGCAGGGTATCAACGATGCTGGCGAGGTCACAGACGCTTGCCAGGGCGACAGCGGTGGACCTCTCGTGTGCGCAACTGATGGGGACGCCTATGTATTGCACGGGGCGACCTCGTGGGGCGACGGCTGCGCTGACGCCAGGTATCCAGGAGTGTGGGCTCGGGTGAACCATGTGCGTGCTTGGATTGACGAGCTGATGGGATTCACTATATCACCGACCCCAGCGCCGCCGCCGACGCCAGGTCCTCCTCCAACACCTGCCCCACATCCAACTCCTGCGCCACAGCACATGTGGGCCAACGTCCTCGGGCAGTGTACCCTGGACGGCACCTGCGTGCAGAGCCTGAACTACCCGCAGGATTATGGCACAGATCAGAGTTGTACTGTAGAGATCGATGAGTTGCGGGCAGCACCCATCGTGGCTGTGGGCTTTGAGACCGAGCAGTATTTCGACACCGTGACAGTGAACGGACAGGCTTATTCTGGGACGTCAGGGCCCAGCGGCGTTACCCCGACAACGGACTTGCTTTGGTCGTCAGATTTCATTGTCGGAAATATCGGATGGAGACTGTGCATGCCAGCGTTAACACCTGCACCGCCACCAGCACCAGCTCCAGAGCACATGTGGGCAAGCATGTTCGGCCCCTGCGAGCTGAACGGCTTTTGCGTGCAGAGCCCGAATTACCCGAATAATTACAGCGCGCAGCAGGCGTGCACCATAGACATCCACTTACAGGTGGCAGCGCCCATCATGGTGGAGAGTTTCTACACAGAGTTATTTTCTGACATACTCACCGTGAGCGGAGTAGAGTACTCTGGAAATGTAGGGCCCAGCGGCATCACCCCAACAGCTGCAATCGTGTGGACGTCCGATTCGTCTGTTGAAATGAGTGGTTGGAAGTTGTGCATGGTTGAATCTCCAGTAACGCATATTCCACCGACCACGTCGACCATGACCACAATCTCGCAGACAGCCACCTTGACGTCGACTCGGACAAGCACTACTACGCTGCTATACACTGTGAGCAGCTCAATGGAGTTCGAATGCTCAGGCACCCTGGAAAAGGTGGTATCTGCGGCGACGGCGCACCTCCTGGACACGTATTATCGAAGACGCCTACGGCGAATCACCGTCGCCTTTTTGCTTTTTGCAAGCGCATAGTTGGCCGAACGTTGCGGTCAGAACTCGGCGATGTTATCAGACTAAGTGTCCCCCCAGCCAGTGTGGAAATTGTTCGGGGAACATTGGGGAGAAAAGAACAAGAGGAGGAGAGAAAGAAACAGGGCCTCTTGGGAGCCCCTGGGGACATTTTAGGGGGCCCTTGGAAGCTTCCTCGGAGCCTCGTGGCGGCCTCTTGGGGGCTTCCTTGGGCCTCTTGGGGGCTAATGGAGGCTCCTTGGGAGGTTGTTTGGCCGTCTGAGGGCGTTCCTGGTTAGTCAGACGCCGTCGGAAACCGTCCTGGGGGCCTGTCTAGGTCAAGTTGGGGCCGTCTTGGGACGCTTCAGGGCCGTCGCGGAGGCCATCTTGGGCGTCTTGGAGGTCTCCTGGGCCGTCTTGAGGCCCTCTCGTAGGGTCATCTTAAGGGCCGTCACCAGGGGCCATCTCTGAGACTTCCTGCGCGCTCTTGGGGCCATCTAGGGTGGCAACTGGGGCCGTCGTGGACCGTCTGAACGCCGAAAATAAGCAACACAAGCCGAAGGTGAACGGTTTCGACCTCTGCGGGCCGTTCTGGAGACTCTAGTAGGGGGCGTCGTGGGCCGCCTTGGGGCCGCCTTGGGGCCGTCTTGGGCGATCGTGGGACCATCTTGGGGGCATCTCGGCCCGTCTTGGTGACGTCTTGAGGCCATCTTGGGCTTTCTTGGGGCCATCGTAGCCGTCTTGGGGATATTGGCAGTCTTGGGGGCCCTGTCGGGGCCGTCTGTAGCGGGAAGACCGATGACCTGTGAAGTTTTCGGAGCTTCGTGGAGGCGAATTTCCCCACTGTTCCCTCTTTAAGCGTCTTTCCGCGTCCCTCCAGGTGGCCAGCGGGTTGGGCCGAAGACCTGTGGGAGCCTTCAAAGAGAACCAACAGCTACCTAATACTTGGAACGTCGCGCAGCCTTGTGGCAAGCCACAGAGGGCGGCGGATCGAAGACGCCTACGGCGAATCACCGCCGCCTCCTGCCTTTTTGTAAGCGCCTATATGGCCGAACGTTGCGACCAGAGCTCGGCGAAGCTATCGGACAGTTTGATCCCCCAACCATTGCGGAAAGCCTCCGGGGAACCCGTGGGCGGAGAAAAAAACAGGAGGACTTGAGGTACTATGGCTTTGGGTCGCCTTAACCCTGGTACTGGGCCCAGTTTCCTGGAGTCACCACCCCGAAGGGCACTGTGGCCCGATGGTGCGAATGGCCTGGGGCTGTGGTCCAGACCGCACGGAACGTGGTCGTTCTAGCATACGAACTTGCCGGAATCGCAGCACGGCCGCAAGAGGGTCCCAAGAGGGCCCCCAGGGCAGTCACAGGATGGCTCACTGAAATCAGCGGCGTCTTTCTGTTGGAACCTGCCAGAGCAGCAGGAAGGCTTCCAGAAGGCCCCAAGAGGCTCCGAGTCGGTCACAAGATGGCCCACAGGGCAGTTCTAGCATAGATTTCCTCGTTGGCAAGAGCCAGTGCTGTGCATTTCAGCATTCGCAATGCAGGGGGTGCGTTCACCCTGGCTCCTTGTGACGTACGGTTGGTGCAGCTGGACAGTGGTGCACAACGGGCACACCGACTGGTGATCGCGCACGGGCGTGGAGCACGCGCCCGAGTCTCGCAAAGGCCTCAAGGCCTGTGCAGCAGAAAGTGCAGGTTAGACCTGGGAGTGAAATGCAGCACTGCTGTGATCCCAAAAAATGTGGGGGGCTTGTGGGTAGGCTTTCTTATCTAAGACGCTTACGGCGAATCACCGCCGCCCCCTGCCTTTTTGGAAGCGCCTATGTGGCCGAATGTTGAGGCCAGACCTGCCAAGCTATCGGACCATGTGTTCCCCGAATCGGTTTGGAAAGCAAACTTTCGGGGAACACGTGGGCATCTTGAAGGTCATCTTGGCCGTCTGGAGGCCATTTGACCCTTCCGGGCCTTCTTGGAGGACGTCTTGGAGGGCTCTTGGGCCGTCTTGGAGGCCATTTTGAGCGTCTTGGAGACCTCTTGGGCCGTCTTGGGGGCCACTTGGGGCCGTGTCTTGGGCCTCTTGGGCGATCTTTGGGGGCACTTGGGCCGTCTCGGGCCGTCGGAAGGCCGAAAAGAAGCAAATGTCAAAATCAGTCAAAAACCGTAGAAAAATCAATGATATTGGCCTCTTCGGGCCTTCCTGGAGGCCTTGGAGGCCTCTTGGGCCGTCTTGGGCCATCTTAGGGCCATGTTTGGCCGTCTTGGTGGGCTCCTGGCCCGTCTGACGCCGTCGGGAGCCGTTTGGGGGGCCTCTATGGGCCGACTTGGGGCCCTTTTGGAATGCTCCAGGGCCGTCTTGGAGGCCATCTTGGGCGTCTTAAAGGCCTCCTGTGCCGTCTTGGGGGCCTCTTGGGGCCGTCTTGGGGCCCTTTGGGCCGTTCTGGGGCCATCTTGGAGGCCTCTTGGGCGATCTTTCGGTGATCTTTGGGGGCTCTTGGGCCGTCTCGGGCCGTCGGAAGGCCGAAAAGAAGCAAATGTCAAAATCAGTCAAAAACCTTGGGAACATCAATGTGTTTGGCATCTTCTGGCCTTCCTGGAGGCCCTCTTGGGGGCCTCTTGGGCAGTCTTGGGCCAGCTTCGAGCCAACTCAGGCCATCTTGGTGGGTTCCTGGCACGTCTGACGCCGTCGGGAGCCGTCTTGGGGGCCTTTTCTGGGCGGACTTGGAGCCCTCTTGGGGCGTTTCGGGGCCATCTTGGAGGCCATCTTGGGCGTCTTGGAGGCCATCTTGGGAGTGTTGGAGGCCTCTTGGGCCGTCTTGGGGCCCTCTCGGGGTCGTCTTGGAGGCCGCTTGGGCCGTCATGGGGCCCTCTTGGGGGCCTTTCGGGGCGATCTTGGGGGCCTCTTGGGCCGTCTTGAGCCGTCGGAATGCCGAGAATAAGCAAATGCCAGAATCCTTCAAAAACCATATAGAAAAGTCAATGATTTTAGCCTCTTCGGGCCCTCCTGGAGGACCTCTTGGAGGCCTCTTGGGTCGTCTTGGGTCTTGTAGGCTTCTTTGGCGACCTTGGAGGTATCTTGGACTCTCTTGGGCCGTCTTGGAGGCCGTCTTGGACCATCTTGGGCGGACTTGGAGGCCATCTTGGAGGCCATCTTGGGCCAACGTGGCCATCTTGGAAGCCATCTTGAACCATCTTGGAAGATTTTTTCCGGATTGAGCTCCTTGAGATCCTTTCCGGGTGGCCGGCGGGACGGGCCGAAGCCCCAGGGGGAGTTCTTTTAGAAAAAGAACCAAAACCAAAAGCGATATCGTTCGGCACGCCAGACACCCCTTTGATAAATCAAAAGGGGGCGGCGGACATCTTGGCCATCTTGGACGCCATCTTGAGCCGTCTTGGAGGATTTTTTGTGGACGTTGGGGTCCTGGGCAATCCTCCCGGGACCCCGGCGGGACGGGCCGAAGCGCCAGGGGGAGTTCTTTTTTGGAAAAAGAATCAAAACCAAAACCGAAAGAGTCCAACACGCCAGGCACCCCTGCGATGAATCGACAGGGGGCGGCGGATTGGCCACACGAACCGGGACAGAGCTTAACCGAAGTGTGGCTGGGTTCTCTTATCGGCCACGCGGCCAGGACCAGTATTGACGAAAGTCGGCCCCCTCTCGGAGGGGAATTCGGCAGGTGACGAATGGAGCCATAAAAATAGCGCGAAGTGACTCGTAAAGCTTCCCTAAGAGCGAAGCGGCGAAGCTCAAGAGTAATTCGGGCGCGCTGGCGGGCTAGCTGGCTCGAAAAATCTCGACGGAAGTTTTGCAGAATTTCGGTATGTTGAAAATCAGTTTCTCGAAATTCAACATTACGTTAGAGCTCTAATATTAGTTCCCCCGTCTTTGATCTTATTCCCGCTCGTCATTTTGATTTCAGGTCGATCGGGTGGATATTACTACCGGAAGCACTCAGGCGGGATCGGCTGTTGAGTGTCATCGTGGCAGGTGCTGTCGGTTTTCTAGACTTAACTCGAGCTGTAGATGAGGTACAGAGCTGTTCGGCACAGCAATCGCAAGGAAATCATCAGGCGCGCTGGTCTAAGGTATCTAGATGCCTGAGGTCGGTCTGCTACCAGAGCTGGGACTAAAAAGCTAGTCGTATTGTGTCATCTTTGAAAAGGCACTGCTCGTTTTTTCTATTTTATTCGAGCTGCAGGCTGGCTACAGAGCTGGGAAGCACACCTCGAAAAAAAGAAATCATCAGACACATTCGCCTGCAGTATCGAGACGTCTGACATCGGCCTGCAACCAGAGTTGCGACTGAAAAACTATCTGCACTGTAAATACGTTTCGAGAGATGATGTGGGTTTCCTCAATCTAATTCGAGCTATAGGCCAGCTACGGAGCTGAGATGCACGCCGATCGACAGGAAATGCCGAGGAGTACCAGTCTATAGTATCTAGACGCCTGAGATCGGTCTGCTACCAGAGCTGCGACCAAATAATTATCTGCACCCTCTCATTTTTATGAGAGGCTGTGTTGGTTTTCTGTACTTAATTCGAGTTGTAGGCAAGCTGAGCTGGGAAGCACACCGTTCAACAGGCAATCATGAGACACAGTCGCTTACAGTATCGAGACGTCTGAGATTGGTTTGCTACCAGAGCTACAATTGACAAACTACGCGCACTCTTCAATTTGTTGTGAGAGATGCTGTTAGTTTTCTGTGTTTAGTTCGAGCTGTCGGCTAGCTACGGAGCTCAGATATGCACCAATCGAGAAGAAATGCTGAGAACCGCTTGTCTAAAGCATTCGGATCGGTCTGCTACCAGAGCTGCGACTAAACAACTATTTGCGCTCCTCAGATTTTAGATAGGCGGTGCTGGTTGTTTCTGCGCAGTTCGAGCTGCAGGCAAGCTAAGGAGCTGGGAAGCAGACTGTTCGAATGGAAATGATCACGAACGCTAGTTTGCAGTACCGAGACGTCTGAAATCGGTCTGCTCCTAGAGTTGCGACCGACGAACTGTTTGTGCTGCGCAAACAGATACCAAGTTCGCATGCTCTACGCGTGACGAGAGCTTCTTAAGATTTCTATATAGTCTGACAACATATGGTCAGCTTGTCGTGTACTTTCTTGCGTGGGTGTTTGTCTCAACTGAACTCGATATGTGAATAATCAAGGAGTTGTCAAGCATTTTCATGAAACCGCACACCCTCGCGCGCGCTGAATGCTAGATCGTCGCGTTCGCATGCCATCTATCTATCTATATATATATATATATACATGTATATATATATGTCTATCTATCTATCTATATATCTATCTATCTATATACATATATATGCATATGGCAAGGAAGCTCTACGAGTTCCCGGCAGTAACCAAGGTTGACGGTTTACCGCCGGCTTCCAGTTCGGCGGCACGCTATCTTTCCGAGGATGGGCTGGCACCCCCCAAAATGTACGTACATTTGCCTTCGGATGGGCCGACACGCCAAGACGCTGTCTTACGCTCCTCTTTGGGCAGTCGTGTGGTTTTTGAGGCCGTGTGGGACCTTCTTGGAGGCTTCCTGGAACGTCCAAAGCTCGGAAAGCCGAGAACGCTAGAATCGCAGAAAAAAACCGTAGGAGCAGTAATGGGTTTGACATGTTGGGGCCCTCTCAGGCGGTTTCTCTTTTGGGCCGTATGGGAGGCTTCTCGAGCCGTCTGAAGGCCATCCTGGGCGTCTTGGAACGGTTGTTTAGCGCTTCAGGGCCCTCTTGGACCGTCTTGGAAGCCTCTTGGGGCCCTCTCGGTTCATTATGGGGGTCCTCTTGCCCGTGGGAAAGTGACGCGACCCGAAACGGGAGCACCCGGGAGCGCCCAGAATTTTGGGTTGTGGACCCCGTCAATAGATTTGACAAGAAGGTACGGTCCAACCCGGCTTGAGAACCTTCCATTTCGTGCCTCGATGCACGGTGGCGGACTATGCGAGTGAGGAACAGTTGACAGTGACCGCTTGGGACATGAACGGATCTTCATCCCGGCTGCGCTCTGTTCCAGGCGCCATCCTTTGGAGGGTCGAGCTCGACATCACCGCGGACAGGCGAGTCGCCGAGCGGTGTTTCGAGATAGCCAAGGCAGTTCACGAGGATCCTGGCAACACGGCTGCCGCCATGAGGGCAGTGTTCGCACAGGAGGGTTTGGATATGGTAGAGGCGTTCACCAGAGAAGAAGAACCACCACCACCACCAGCTCGGGGGGGGGGCATTTGGGAACGGAGTTCTATGGCGTTCTGGTGGTGGTGGTTCTTTTTGCTCTCATGAGGCTTCGTTGTCCGTCGCGGAGCCAGACATGAACACCGCGACGTCCACCGCGACGACAGCGAGCTCCACCGCAGCAGCCACAACAGCCGCTGCAATCACAGAAGAGCAAATAAGGCATGAACATAAGTGCTCGGATGTCCGCGCGGCTTTGCTGCCTCGATACGCCGCTTTTCAAACGCAACACGTACCGTGCTCAAAGCGTCCGTGCCAATACGTTGGCCAACGTGCCCCGACGCGCCATGGGGGTGTCGCGGCGCCAGGGACGCTTCCAGACCGCCCAAGACAACCCCAACACACATGAAAAGGGCCGCGAGAGGCCTCCAGGAGGCCTGCTATGCGAGAGGCCTCCAGGAGGCCTACTATCGCGGAGTTACCGTTGTAACACGCCCAAGATGGCTTTCGGATGGCCCGCACTCCCAAAAGGGCCCCAAGAAGCCAAAATCAGATGTTCTTTTTTGTTTTTGGTACAATTTAGCGTATTGGCCCACGTTTTGGCGAACGCATCGCGTCAGACCTACGTCCTCAGTCTGCGTGATGAGCTCCGTAACACTACGCTGCGTGCTGCGTGTTGCGCATCGGGGCAGCTGGGCTCCGTGCGAATGCTTTCCTTGGCTCTTCTGAGCCAGCACGAGCTGGACCGCGGAGGCGATGACCACCGACGGGCTCCCGCAGACCACGGGCGGCGAAGACGACGACGACGGCGACGGCGCGACCAACCTCCCGCCGAGGCCGCCCACCTCCGAGGCACCGGCGCGGACGCTCCCTGACGTCGCCGCCGTCGTCGTCGGTGTCGTCGCCCGCCGTCGGTCGTTCCAGGTTCGAGGCGTCCGGGTGCTCTCCGCCCTCCCTCGGGGCGTCTTGGGAGGTCTCGCGCCGCCGCGGCTGGACATCGATGGTCGACGACGCCGACAACGTCGCCGTCGGCGTTTCCGTCTGCGGCGCATCGGCCCCCCAGCCTCAGCGCGACGAGCTTGAGGCGGCGCCGAGTGTTGGGGATCACGTGCTTTTTACCACCCCATGTTGTGTTGGGCTCTCGTTTCGCATAGAGCACCCATCGCGCATCTGCGCATCCCCTCCTCCTCCTTGTCCTCACCCTCCTCTTACTCCTCCTCCTTTTCTACGCTCGTCTCCCCCTCCTCGTCCTCTCGCCTCCTGTCTCCGACCTGCGTCTTTACTACCAGCCGCACTGGACCTCACTGCTACCAACTGCGCAACTGTCGCCTGTTTCGTGCCACAACTTCCCGCGGTTCCTTCAATGCTTTTTTTAGGTTGAGCAGTCCTGTTCGTAGCCGCCTCGTGTATGGAAAGGGTTGGGTACTTCCTGGTGTGGTTTCTGGTTTCTTCCCAGAGGATGCGTCGAACGTAATTTCCAACGGATGTGTCGAAATAGTTGTAATTAGCGGGCCCCCTGTTTCTCTTATTCCTGCTTCGCCGGGAATTGCGCTTGATGGTGTTGTCCCCAGTGCGCTCAGCCAGGTCTGCGAGGCGGAGGATGAGGAGGATGAGGAGGAGGAGGAGGAAAATGAGGAGGAGGAAGATCTTGGTCAGAAACGCGCTCCTGCATCCCAGCCCCCTCATCATGATTACGGGGGGGGGGGGGCGTGCTCAAGTGCGCGCTCGCCCCCCCCATGACCCCGGCGCCTCCGCGCTCGCTTGCGCCGGCGGGGAAGCCCTGCCCCTCTCCCGCCCCGACGCGGCCCCCCGTCGGAGCGAGGAGGCGTCGCGCTTCGCATCCGCAACGGGGGCCTCGCTCCGCGGCCGGCGGGGGGGGGGGTCCGGCCGTCCTGACTCGGGCGGCGCCTCGCCGTGCGACGGGGGGGGGGCCTCGCGCGGGCGTGGCGCAGCTGCGTCGCATGCGCGAGCGCCTCGCTCCTCGACGTGTGCGGGGGCTCGCTCCGCGGCTGCAGTGTCCGCGGAGGGGAGGGCAGGCAGTGGCGGAGCGTCCTGGCGTGCCTACAGGGCTACCGAGCAGTGTTCTAAGAGCAGGTTCTGGTGTCCACGACATGTTCTCAGAGCATTTCTGGCTGGGACTGTCTTGTTCTGACACATCGGGCTGATGTTCTAAGAACATGGTTTTTGTTCTTAGAGCATTTTCGGGTTCTAAGAACATGTCGTGGTAGGTCCACAGGAATGCTGGGACGGCCGGTCCCTGCTCAAGAAAGATCCACCCCGACCCCGACAGTTGGCGTTTCCTGAACGACCCTGGGCCCCTACTAGACAGCCCTGCCCTGTTCGATCCCCTCCTGGGCTGCGTCTACCAAACGGCTTCGCTGGTGGTATGGGGGAGGGATTCTCTGCCCTCTTACAGTAGCCCCCTCGCTGCGCGACCGGGCACGCGCACGCGGGCGGGGGTCTCGCGCAGGGGTGGCGCAGCTGCGCCACAGCAGTGGGGGCCGCGCTCCGCAGCCACAGAGGCCCCTCGCTGCGCCATTGGGCACGCGCGCGCGGGCGGGGGTCTCGCGCAGGGCGGGGGGCGCAGCTGCGCCGCATCGGTGGGGCCTCGCTCCGCGACTGGCGTGGCGCGCGCGCGGGGAGAGGCTCGCTCGCAGGCATGGGGCAGGTGCGCCCCTCGAGGAGGCATCCCCGTCGGAAGTCCCACCTGGGGTGCCCCAGAGAAGGAAAAAGCTGGAGTGGCGCCTCGTCGCGCGACTGGGCGCGCGCGCGCGGGAGAGGGGGTCTCGCGCAGGGACGGGGCAGGTGCGCCCCACGAGAAGGAATCCCCGTCGGGGGTCCCAACTGGGAAGCCCCTGAGAACGGATCGTGTTTGGAGGGCCCACAAGGAAACAGAGTCCGAGTTGGGGGCCCACCAGAAGGAATCCGGCTAGCGGGGTGACAGGAGACAGAATCCCAATTGGGGGGCTCGTGATATGGAAGCCCAGTTGGTGGGGGGACGAAAGGGATCCTCGTCTGGATCCTTCTGTCCTGATTTTGACGGTGGGGCACCCTTCGTCGCCGAGGGCGTTCCACTACTCGCAAAGTGCCTGCTCGCCAGCGTCCGAAAAACCATACGTCTGCCTTTGTGTAAAATACGGCGGCGGCATTGGATAAGGAAAGTCTTACTGGGGCCCAGACCCTGGCGCTTTCCTTCTTGTTTCAAGGCGGGGTGGGTGGCCCACGTTTGGCCGCCCATCGGTCCCGAGACCCTGGGTGCCTTGTCGAAGGCATCCTTATATAACACCTCCACTGTACGTAAATATCCCCTGGGCTTGATCCAGGCCACCTGCCAGCAGCTACTCTGCGAGCAGCGGAACGCGCGTGTCTGCTTCAGACCGCCACCGGGGCCGCTCGGAGGCCGCGCAGGCGAGTCAATCCGTCGTGGCGCGCACGAGGAAAAGGCGGCGCAGCCCGCCTCATTGCACCGGCTAGCCTTAAGCCGAGCCTGTCATTCTACAGGCGGAATGTTCAAACAAATGTTTAAACATACAAAAAAAAACATCCGTTCTTATATAAAAAGTAGTCGTATGGGGATTATTGCTTTACCATGTTTGCCTATGTTCGAGTATGGTTGGTGTATGTTTTATTTGTCTCCCAAAATCCCCCCGTAGGATGACACGCCCGACCAAAACGGTCGCTCGCGCCTGGCGTGGTCGGGTGCGGCGCTCGCTTCGTGAAGCAAGCGGAGGAGGAGGACGGACGGAAGGAGCGAGTGAAGGAGAAAGAGGGATGCAGAGGGAGGAAGGAAGGGGGACGGGGGAGGAGGGGGAGAAGGGGAGGAGAGGGAAGAGAGGGCATAGGCCATGGGAGGGAGAGAGGAAGACGAATACGGAGGAAGGAGAGGAGAAGAAGGAGGAGGAGGAGGAGGAGGAGGAGGAGAGGGAGGAGGACGGAGAGGAGGAGGACGGAGAGGAGGAGAAGACGAGGACGAGTGAGAGGAGGGGAGGGTGGAGAAGGAGACAGGAATAAGAGGGGAAAGGGGGCGGCTGGAGGTCTTCAGAGACCTACGGTTTGAACCTCAAGGTTAGAGTTAGGTCGGACATGTCCCTTTACAGGCGGATTGGGACAAAAAATGAAAAATAGTCGCGCAAAAAAAAAAACGATTCCAAATTGGTCAAACAATAATCTACACAAAAAAACGTCCCCATACTATTTCTTGACTATTGTTGAAGGCTCCTCATGTATAGGGACAGGCCCGACGTAAGGTTAGAGGTGGAGGAATATGTGGAGATGGGGGGGCACCCATAGGACGGGCGCCTGCGAGGCCAGGTGAACAGGATATGTGCCGTGCTTGGCCCTGTGTGCGCCACGGGGAGGAGGCGAAGGGGATGGCAGAGGAGGAGAAGTAAGGAAACGGAGGAGGAGGAGGAGGAGGGCGAGGAGGAGGAGGAGGAAGGAGGCGGAGGAGGAGGAGGAAGGAGGCGGAGGAGGAGTGGGAAGAATAGAAAGAGAAGGGGGAAGGAGGAGGAGGAGGAGGAGGAGGAGGAGGAGGAAGGAGGCGGAGGCGGAGGCGGACGAGGAGGAGGGGGAGGAGGGGGAGGAGGGAGATTAGGCAGAGGAGGAGGCGGAGGAAGAAGAGGAAAAAGAGGACGAGGAATGAGAAGGTGGAGGATAAGAAGGAGGAGACGGCAGACGAGGAGGAAGGGGAGTAAGGCTGATCCCTCCTGGGCGTGTTCACCATGCTTGTGTATGACGGCCATGGTCGTTGGATCCCGATATTCTCAGCTTCTTCCTTGACGCGGACAATGCTGTTGGTCTGTTTTGGTTGGCGCATCTCACAGTGTGGCAGGTGTTTTGTGGTGGTATTTACGATCGAAGAGATGTCTTTCGAGCTCGATGTCTCATACTCGGTTGATGCTCCGACTGGGCCTGTTCACCATTCTTGTATGTGACGGTCATGGTTGTTGGATCCCGATATTCTCAGTTTCTTTCCTGACGCGGACAATGTTGTTGGCCTGTTTTGGTTGGCGCATCTCACAGTGTGGCAGGTGTTTTGTGGTCCTTACGGTCGGGGAGATGTCGTTCGAGCTCGATGTCTCATACTCGGCTGATGCTCTTATTGGGGCGTCTTCGTATTCGTGATGGTGGTCTCGTTTCTGTTCGTGTTGGAGTCATTACTTGGATTGTTCACCTCTCGCGTTTACGATCACTGTGTGGGTGCCTCTCCCTGGACACGTGGATCGTATCCTGGGTGTTTTCAGCGACGCGTTGCCTTACTTCTTCTGAAGCGTTGAAGATGCTGGTCAGAGAGTGGCTCAGTCTCAAATGACCCAGAGGGCCCATAAGGCTAGCAGGAAGAGGAAAGGATCAGGAGAAGGCGAGCAGGAGGAGGACAGGAGGAGCAGGACGAGGCTCGAGTTTTCGAGTGTGTGCTACCATGGTTAGATTCTGGATACCTCCAGATGCCATCGGGGACCCCCGATGGTCCCCGCAGACTTCCCGAGGAGGTGAGGAACAGTAGGCTACGCAATGGCTTGATCGCTAGATTTGCGCAGAGTTTGGATCGGAGCCGTGCAATATGCTGTCCCCTCGCGCTGTTCCTTGGCTTCCGCACCCTCACAATACATGGTCATCCTCGTGCTTCCCAATCTTATGGTTACGGGTCGGGTTGTCCTCAACACATGTAGTGCCGACACCACGTAATTGATTAGTAGCAGTAGTCGTCGCAGTCGTAGCCGCAGCAGTAGTAGTAGTAGTAGTAGTAGTAGCAGCAGTAGT